TTGGGGGGGGGGGGGGAGGGGTGATAAGGAGTGGCAACCTTATGGAGAATGCCATATTTCTCCAACAACTTTGCAAGGGCTCAGTTGCAGAAGTGGGTGCCTCCATCACTGATGATCGCTCTTGGAGTGTCAAATCGGGTGAAGATATTTTTTCTTAGAAAATCAATAACTCCCTTTGCATCATTTGTTGGGAGTGTCATGGCTTCAACCTATTTCGAGACATAGTCTACAACTACTAGTATGTACTTGTTGCCATATGAGCTGACAAATGGTCCCATAAAATTGATTCCCCATACATCAAATACTTCTACTTCTTGAATTGGGTTCATGGGCATCTCATGTTGACGGAAAATATTCCCCGTCCGTTGGCACTCCGCACAGCTCTTTACCCAAAAGTGTGCATCTTTAAACAACGTCGGCCAATAAAAGCCCCACTCCAACACTTTTGCAGTTGTCCCGACTCCACCAAAATGGCCTCCATAAGATGAAGCATGACATGCCTGCAAAACAGAAGCTTGGTCTATCTCGGGAATTTTCCGGATCATGTTATCAATACAAATCCTAAACAAATATGGTTCATCCCATAAATACATGCGACAATCACGAAAGAACTTTTTCTTCTGCACAGAAAACAAGTCATAGGGAACAATACTGCTTGCTAGGTAGTTTGCAATGTCTGCATACCATGGCGCTACCTCAAGGCTCGTGGCCAATAGTTGTTCATCTGGGAAAGTCTCCATGATATCTTCCACCTCAACCTTCGTTTCAGCTCCTTCAAGCCTGGACAAGTGGTCGACAACTTGGTTTTTCGTTCCTTTTCGGTCACGGATTTCCAAGTCAAACTCTTGCAGTAGTAGAACCCATTAAATCAGGCGTGAATTTGCCTCCTTCTTATCAATTAGGTACCTGAGAGCAGCATGGTCAGTATAAACAATTAATTTTGAGCCTATCAAGTAGTACCAGAATTTGTCAAATGCGAACACCACTGATAGCATCTCTTTTTCTGTCACTATGTAATTCAGTTGAGTGCCATTCAATATTCTACTTGCATAGTAGATTGGATGCATGATTTTATCTTTTCTCTGTCCAAGTACTGCTCCCACAGCATGGTCAGTTGCATCACACATCAGCTCAAATGGTTGCTCCAGTCGGGTGCAACTATGATAGGTGCAGACACTAGCCTCTTCTTCAATCCCTTAAAAGCTACCATGCAGTCATCAGAAAACACAAAAGGGCGATGTTTTTCAAGCAATTTACACAAAGGGTTAACAATCTTGGAAAAATCTTTTATGAATCGCCTGTAAAAATCGGCATGACCAACGAAACTTCTTATTGCCTTGACGGAAGTGGGTGGTGGAAGCTTCTCTATTACATCAATCTTAGCACGGTCCACCTCAATGCCCTTTCTTGACACTAGGTGTCCCAAGACTATACATTCCTATACCATAAAATGGCATTTTTCCCAGTTTAGCACCAGATTAGTCTCCATACATCTCTGCAACACTCTTTTCAGATTTCTAAGGCAATCATCGAAAGAGTTTCCCACCACTGATAAATCATCCATGAAAACCTCAATTATGTCCTCTACCATATTTGTGAAGATGGCCATCATGCACCTTTAGAATGTGACAGGTGCATTGCATAGGCCAAACGACATTCTCCGAAAAGTGTAAATTCCGTATGGATAGGTGAATGACGTTTTCTCTCAATCCTCTGGGGTAATAGATATCTGATTATACCCCAAATATCCATTCAAGAAGCAAAAATGAGACCTCCCTGCCAATCTATCTAGCATCTGATCAATGAACGGCAAAGAAAAATGGTCTTTTCGGGTGACCTTGTTCAATCTTCTGTAATCCATACAAATTGTCCATCACGTGACTATTCTAGTTGATATCAACTCGTTGTTCTAGTTTTTCACAACAATTATCCCACCTTTCTTTAGCACACACTGAACTGGGATAACCTGCTATCAGAGATGGGAAACATAATTCTCGCATCTAACCACTTGATCACTTCCTTTTTATAACCTCTTTCATGTTTGGGTTCAACCTTCTTTGATGTTCTCTAGAAGGTTTGTGCCCATATTACAGTAGAATCTTATGCATACAGAAGGCCGGGCTGATATCCTTAATGTTTGTGATAGTCCAACCGATTCCAGTCTTACACTCTTTCAACACCTGCAAAAGTTGTTCTACCTGCACATCTAACAAACTAGATGAGATAATAACAAGTAAATTCGAGTTAGGTCCCAAAGCATACCTGAGGTGCGATGGTAGCGGTTTTAGCTCCAATTATGGTGACACTTTGATCGATGGCTTGGCTGGAGGAATCTTTCTTTCTTCCGAGTATAAAGGCTCGAATTCGAGCTCTCTTTTCCAGTACCCCTGCCCTTGAAGAGCTAACACCCATTCCGTTAAGTCCTCACCATTTGCTTCTTCTAAGTTCATGATGCAGGCTGTTAGAGGATCTTTTGCATTAAGTACCTCATCATCTTCCTCCATGATCATATCCATTGCGTCTATCAAAGTGCAATTTGCAAACTCACTGGGTCACCGCATAGACCTTTGCACATTAAATGGTATTTCTTCATTATTCAGTCTCATTTTTTGCTCCCCCATTTCACAATGAATCAGAGCTCTTCCTGTGGCCAAGAACGGCCTTCCCAAAATTATGGGAATCTCCTCATCAACCTGCCAGTCCAAAATGACAAAATATGTTGGAAACACAAATTTTCCAACTTGTGCAAGTACATCGTCAAGTATACCTAATGGCCTTTTCACCGTTCGGTCAGCTAACAATAGTAACATGGATGTGGGCCTTGCTCTTCTAATACCTAACTTTTTATAGATGGACAATGGCATCAGATTTATGCTTGCCCCCAAATCACATAATGCTTTGGCGAATGCATAGCTACCTGTGGTGCATGGAATTGTGAAGCTTCCAGGGTCGAATAGCTTCTCAGCTTTAGGTCTTGTCACAACAACACTACATGTTTGTGTCAATATGACAGTTGCCAAGTCTTGAAAGTCGAACTTACCAAGTCCTTCATCATTTTTACATAACCGGGCATCTCCCTCAAAGCATCAATTAGAGGAATGTTTACCTGAATTTGCTTCAGCATTTCCATCAATTTTTTGTACTGCCCATCCTTCTGATATTTGGCCAATCTTTGTGGGAAAGGTGCTGGAGCTCGCTTCTTTCATGTGGCTTGAGTTAGATCTTGCTCAAGCACTTTTTCTAATGCCTTCTCTTGCACTTTCTCAATCTCCCCCGCAACCTATTTTTCCTTGTTTATTTCCTCCTGGGCTGGCTTCACTTTCACTTTTGTTAGCTCAGTTGACTAATCTACCTCAATTGGCACTACACAAGTGTTTCAATTGATCGGTTCTCATGAGCGATTTCTTTCTCTAAATCAAGATCTCTACCATTTCTCAAACTCACTACCATAAGCTGACTCGGGCCCTGCTCCTTCGGATTGACATGTGCGTCTGCAGGTAAAGTCCCTTGGGGACGATTATTCAGAGCCATAGATATCTACCCTAATTGAATCTCAATGCCTTTTATCGCTGACTCGTGTTCTTCCACCTTCTCTCGCATTTTTCCATTAGACCCAATCAGTTGTTGCAACATTTATTTAATTTCAGACAACCCATCATCTTGTCTCACTAGCTATTATTGTTGAGGCTGTTGATAAGCTAGCTGCTAATTTTGCTGACTATATCCCTGTTGCCTTTGGTAAGGCACTACTTGACCCTGTGGTCGCATAGCTCCAGGATTGTTGGTATTATTGTATTGTTGTTGTGCTGGTCTATACTGTTGATTCTGCTACCCTTAATTCTGACCACCTTGCCTCTGGCCTCCATAGTTGCCCACATAGTTCATATTCTCCTAATAGTTTTGGTTGTCATTTTCACCACTCCATGAGCACATGTATGGTTGGTTAATGCATGGTGTACATAATCCCCCATTAGTCGTGTCAATTATGTGTACTTGCTTCTGGCATGATTCATCAATCTTCTTGGTGAGGATACTCAATTGCGTCATCAGAGTAGCCATATTCTCGGCTTTGGAGTTGTTAGGGTCCAATGCTACTGAGTGAACTATATGGGTGATTGTAGTGTCTCTTATCATCCAGCCTGAGTTTTGAGCCATTTTATCTAGCAGGACCTTATATTCTTTGAATGACTTGCTCAAAAATGCTCCACTTACTGAAGCATCAACATTAGCCTTCAAGTTATCCGCCAATCCCATGTAAAACCGTTGTCCCAACATCTGATCTGGAATGCCATGATGTGGACAATTAACCAGCATACCTTTGAATCTCTCCCACACTTCTTGCAATATTTTAGTTGGTTTCTGCCTAAAGCTCAATATTTTATCAACTTGCTTGGCGGTCTTATTGGGTAGGTAGAACTTATTCAAAAACTGCTTGACTAATTCCTCCCAAGTGGTGATGGAATTTATGGGATTAAGCCAAGTCTGGGCTTCTCCTGTCACTGAGAATGGAAACAACAACAGTTTTATTGCTTCCGGTGTCACATTCGGTTGCCTTTGCGTGACGCAAATTGACAGAAATTTTTCAGATGCTGTTGTGGATCTTCAATGTAGGACCTGGAGAACAACCCCTTGTTTTACAACAGGTGTAGCATGTTGTTTGTGATTTGAAATGACTCCATTTATATCTGAGGAACTACAATTGTAGTTGCCAAATTTTCAGCGGTGGGTTGTGCCCAATCATACAAAGCTGCTTCTGGCACAAGAGGTGTCACACCCTGATTATTTGGGTTATTCACATTGTTTCGATTGTTTTGATTATCCAAAACGTCACCCATGTCAAATTCAATTTGTTCACTTGGGTGCTGTTGTCGTTTGTCCTTCCTGTTTGCACGATTTAATACCTTGAAAGCTTTCTCAGGATCCGGTAATGCTTCAAATAATTCACCAGTTCTTGAGGAGTTTCTACGTATGCACCTATACACACAAGACTACAAATGTTAGAATTTCAATACAATGAATTTAAAATGAAGAAAATTGACTAAACTAAGAATCCTAGCAATTCTTCTAGCTGTAATTAATAACATTGTTGCTTCTCGGAAATGACGCCAAAATTTGATCATGCCTAACTATGCCTCCTAAGAGGTCTAGCGGTCGTTGCAAATATAATCCGGTTTACAAGTCCGGAGTCGAATCTCACAGGGAAATAACATACTAATTACAACCAATAGTTTTGCACGAATTCAAGTAATCAACCTTCAGAAATATTACATAATAATTTTAGAGTTTACTAACTAAGATCAAAGTAATTAAAAATACAGTAATTTATAGCTAACAAAGCAAATATTGTAGACAAGATTTGGTAAAGTCTAAGGTTATGATTTCCCCTATTGTCGGAATCTTTCCCACTACGTTTTCTATAAATTTGCCTAAATATTCTCTACCAATCGTGAGTACTTTAATTGTCGTTGCTCTCTCTCGAGCAACTACTATAATTTACTAAACGTATTCTCTCGAACTATGCTAGCTGATACTAATTTACCGCTCACTTTGATAGCACCAAGGCTTTGTTATCTCTAATCCCGCCTTTAAACCCTCTGTATCGATCTCTCAACTACGTTAGGAGTGGTGTTGTTCAACAATTACCTAAATGTATACTCTCTCTCTCGAGCAATATATACACTAAATAGGCCCAGTTAATTGAGAGCTCTTCAATTAACAACAATGAAAATATAGTTGAACAAGTAGAGAAAAATCAAAAACAAATCTATATTAAATGCAGTAGAATATTATCCTCCAATAGGTTCCATCAAACCTTAGATAACAAATTAGCTATTCATAATAGTATGCATAACTACAATACTAGAATTCATAACCCCGCTCCACAACAAAGGAGGACTTTTTTTATGTACCTCTGGAAGGAGAGTATATTTATTATAAGTTAAATTCGGGAGGAAGAATAATTTTTTTTAACAATTAATTAATTTAAACAGAAAATCAAGTATATGAGGTTTCAAACCTTTAATATCTTTATCTGATAATTCACAATATATTCATATATATATCAATTAATATTAATTAAACAAAGAATATAATTTACACAAGTAATTCATGCTTTGAGTCCTAAACTACCCGGACTTTAGCATTAATAAGATTGAGGTATAATTCAAGGCAAATTACATGCGAAAATATGAATTTTTAGCCTAACATCATTATGCTATACGTTATTCCCAAGCTAAATAATACTTTACTTTCTATCTAACATTGTTCTTATTGCTGCCTTCGGAAGCCTTTCTCCCAGAACTAGGCTATCTGCTATTTATCTCGATTTCAACGCTAAGTCATGCATTTTATTTAATTAATTAATTATTTTTGGATTAAATCAGTTCGCTTGTCTATAAACCATGTAACAAATTCAATTGTACCATTTCACGAGTAAACAAATTCAATTTAAATTTCTCATTTTATCCTAATAACAAGCTTTTGTAGCCAGGCAAATATAATGTGCTTGCTAGAATAATTTTCATTTAGTTAGGTTTCTTGAATTTATTTAATTATTTTATGTCAGCTCATTTTCTTGTTTATTACTGTTGTGATTGAGCAAACCCAAAAATTAGAAGAACTAAAAGATCTTCATTTCAGAACAACTTTTTATCTCATACTAACAAAAGTAAATGGAGGCCAATACATAAATTGAAAAAAATAAAGATCAAAAGAAGTACACGCAAATGATAATTGATCTGTTAGACAAATAAAAGGAAACTGCTGAAGCTGGTCTTGTTCTCGAGCTAATTCCTCGTATTGCACACGGCTGATAATTTAGAGCCGAACTGCAGATAAATATGATCCATATTGCTTGTGACAAAATTCATCATAAGTAGATAGAATAAAACTTCAAAAGGAGGCTGATTTGCAATAGTACACTGCTATGTTTTAGGAACAGAGAAAATGTAAAAATTTTAGTACGATGGAGGTGGAGGTGGGTAGTTATAATAGTAAACGAGAGGAGGCGAAGGGTATAGTGGGGGTGGTGACACATAATAATATGGAGGAGGTGGGGAAAGGGACGGTGGAGGTGGCGATTTGTAAACGTATGGAGGAGGTGGAGAAGGTGATGGTGGGGGAGGAGATTTATAGTAATAAGGAGGAGGAGGTGATGGTGATGGCGGTGGTGGAGAGTTGTAAACATATGGAGGAGGTGGAGAAGGTGAGGGTGGGGGAGGAAATTTATAGTAATAAGGAGGTGGTGGAGAAGGGGACGGTGGGGGAGGAGATTTATAGTAATAAGGAGGAGGCGGGGATGGTGATGGCGGTGGTGGAGAGTTGTAAACATATGGAGGAGGTGACGATTTATAATAGTAATTTGGAAGTGGTGATGGGGTTGGTGGACTTTGAGTCTTGTCATAGTAAGAAGGCGACGGTGCTGGGGAAGGCTGAGGAGAGAGCCCTTCTGAAGGCGATGGTGGGGATTGGTTAGGGTAAGAAGGCGCAAGTACAGGCGATGATTGAGGAGATAATGCCCATGAATAGTGATATGGGGATGGAGCCCACCCTGAAGGTGAAAACGGGGAACTAGACTTGTATGGAGTTGGCGATAAAGGTGATGTGGTTGGTGAACTTTCAGTATTCTTGTTATTGTAAGTGGGTAAAGGCACATGGGAAGGATGAGGAGAGGACCATTCTGAAGGTGATGGTGGGGACTGATTAGGGTAAGAAGGTGCAAGTACATGCGATGATTGAGGAGATGATGCCCATGAATAGTGATAAGGGGATGGAGCCCATCGTGAAGGCGAGGGCGGGAAATTATACTTGTATGGAGATGACGATAATGGTAATGTGGTTGGTGAACTTGCAGTACTCTTGTCATTGTGAGTGGGTGAAGGCACCAAGGAAGGCTGAGGAGACAACCATTCTGAAGGTGATGGTGGGGACTGATTAGGGTAAAAAGGCGCAAGTACGGGCAATGATTGAGGAGATGATGCCCATGAATAGTGATATGGGGATGGAGCCCATCCTGAAGGTGAGGGCGGGGAACTATACTTGTATGGAGATGGCGATAATGGCGATATGGTTGGTGAACTTGCAGTATTCTTCTCATTGTAAGTAGGCGAAGGCACCGGGGAAGGCTGAGGAGAGAACCATTCTGAAGGTGATGGTGGCGAAGTATAATACTTTTGGGTTGGTGGTTGTGGTGATGGAGATGGTTGACGTGGTGACTGATTAGAGTTAGAAGGCGCATATACTGGTGCTGACTTTGGAGATGACTTGTAACTATAATATTTTTTCCATGAATAGTCATAGGGTTTATGACTTGCTTCTACATTCTTGGATATGAAAAGTATTGCCATAAACCATATAACATTTGGCCAAAGACAAGCCATATTTCTAAGAGGTATGAAGAGAATAAGCTGAATTTGATGATAAAGAGGCGAAATTAAGTCCCTTTATATAATAGTCTTCTCATCAAGTTTTGGTACAATATTTTAGTGAATTATGAAGCTTAAAGCCTCTAATTAATAGACTTGTTCTTCAATAGTGACAAGGTCTAAAGTGAGACCAAGTCAATTGACATATATGTAAAGGGCAAATGGAGCTAGCCAAATGTGCATTCGGCATGAAAAGAGAAAAGGACCAACTATAAATTTAATTTATTGAACATGTCATGACCATATAAAACTTTTAATTTGATTCTTTGTTGTTTATATATCTATGAAGAACTTCCAAGGACGGCTTTAAAAGTTCAAAAAAACACTTCATTAATATTCATGCTCTATGCAAATATCTTATTAAATTTGTCTAGGTTTTAAATTAGTTCAGCAAAATTTGTAAGTTGTGGAAGCAGGGCGGATCTAGAGGGGCAGAAGGCATCTGCCGA